ATAATAATCTGACTCCTGTTTAAAATGGCCCCTGCTCTCATCCAGTATGTTATTTTATTGATTAACACTTCACCTGGATGTCATCCTCGAGTTTGTTTTTCACCAAGGCTCCGTGTATAACTCGTCGTTTCTTCTGCAGTTTCTCCCTAAAGTCACTGAAACAGAACCAGAGACGGTCTTTTAAGAACGGGACGAACTTTTGTTTAGGTTATAGTCTACCAGTTTGGATTTATAGTAGAAAAACAACATTTACCTTGAAGAATCCATGCTGATGGTAGTTTTATACAATTAGAAAAATCTTGTGATAAGAACGGTATCTGTAAAACTGCGTGTAAAATTCCGTTCTACGTCGGACTTGAGCTTAATTTTGTGATTTTCAGAACGTAGCTTTTTGCTAGCGAACTCCGTTAACGCGCTGCCTAGGAACGAACTACGTCTCCACCTACCATGGATGGCAACTCGAGTGCAAACAAACCCAACAAATTCACGATTTCAATTCGTCAACTGAGCTGCCAATCAAMACTGTAGTTGAAAACAAATCCACCCACTACGGTGTCCGAGAAGGCGGACATTATCAAATGCGCATTAACTCCACTAGGCGGCTTTTCATTTTACAGTGTCGAGAACACAGATTTATAAAGCCTTTATATCTATGGTCGAGACACTCAACTACAAGTTTATTATAATTCTTTATAATATATAGTTAGATAAGTTAATAGTATAAGATAAAGATAAGATAAGATAAATAGTTAAGGTTGTTTACCAATTTCTATATAGAAAAGAGCATTTATTCTCTTGTTTCAGACTTCTATTTATGATGAATAATCTTCCATTGAATTAGTATTTTTATTGTTTTTTACTGTTTTTATTAACATTCAAATAGTTATTAAATATTTACCACTGTGTGTTTTTTATCTGCTTATTTGTAAAAGATTTCTGCACAGTATGAATATTAGTAAAACACTCAGTAATCACTGAATGCAAAATTACATCCGATTACCTTTCAGAGTTGACCTTGTTTGTTAGCAAAATATCTCAGCCCAGAAGCCAGATTTGACTGAAGCCTGTAATCAGTAATCACTGAATGTACACAACTGATGAAAGGTCAAATTAATTCAAGATGAACAAAACACAAAGATGCTTAAACCCAGTCATTTTTACAGAGACTGTAACAGATTTTGACACATTGGGACATTGATGTGGTAACAGCAGAGTCATTCACATCACATCACATGTTTAGAGTGCTAACAAGATTTCTCATAACATTATTTTAAAGTTTAATTTAACCCTGTCCCTTTCAACATAAGAAGGTCTTGATACAAAACTGGTTTGGAAGACTGCGGTCGATATGCATGCTTCASGGACTGCTAGGCCATTAATTAGTTTTTAGTATTTAATTTGCACAAACTAAGATTAATCTCTTTCTGTTCGTATAATTTGGTAACGATAAAGTGCATATTCATTAAAACAAACCTTTACCTTTAACAAGCAAAACGTCATACAGAGTTGAAAATTATTTAGCATTTGAAGAAATTGATTCCTTTGGTACTATATAGTCATTCTTAAAGTTATGAGTTTTGCTAAATATGCTAAATAAATTAATCTGTGCTATATTTGGTATGGGTATGTTTTATGCCCATAGGTACCAGAACTGATACAGAACTTTGGACACTAAACATCATGTGTTAAGTGGTGTTTAAAGATATCAGTTTTTCAGAATATTAGTGGAAAATATTGTAAACTATAAGCTCAAGGTAATATTCATGTTATGCTTTTATAAACCTTCAAGGTTCAAGCTGAAATTTAGAAGAACTGAATGAAACTATTTTTACATTTTGTTAAAGCTTTGACTCATATGTTTAGGCTTTAAATGTTTTGTGAAATCATRTCTACAAACCAAGCTCTGCCTGTCAGGAATATTTATTTGCATTATTGTTGACAGGTTCAAATAAAACTGACAAACAGCACAGGTGGAGCAGGCAGCAGCAGCAGCAACTACAACCTTAAAGATCCACAGCAAACACAAACCGACCCTCGCTGCACGTTCAGTTTCAAAACAGAAATAGGTACATTTTCAACCATTCTTATAGCAGTAAAAACATTTGTATAAAAATAAAGTTTGTAGATACTATGTATGTTCTAAATCTATCAAGACAATATATTTTTCTTTCTGGGTTTTATGCATAGTCTTCTGCCAGTGTGTCAAAGTAGTTTGTGTCTGCATAGAGCAGGAAACCAGAGAACAGGCTGTCCGCCCAGCCGGGGTCTGCAAATAAACCRTTCTGGTCGTGGTAGAAGATCTCCATCCACACCTCATCCTCTGGGTTCAGATACATGACAGTGGAGCCAGACGCCACGTCGTGGTTTCCTGTGTTGGCATCGAAGGTTTTGATGCGATACTGACCGTTCTGCACCAGACTAATTGCCAGGTGTTTATTGGCCAGCGTGATGTCATAGGAGAAATAATAAACACCTGGGTATGCACAGATGAATTTTCCAGTCTGTGGGTTGTAGTGCCCGCCTTCATTGAAGAGGACCTTGTTGAACTTGATGGGGGTCTTCTCTGTTGGGTAGCTGCTGGTGATTCCCACAGAGAAAGCGGATTTCGGCAGTAGGCTGCCACATTTGCAAACTCCTGCAGCTCCACGGGGTCCTCTTTGGCCCTTATCTCCTTTACTTCCATTGCGGCCTGGTGGACCAGGCAGTCCAACATCTCCGATGTCTCCTGCTGGGCCCAGTTTGCCTGTGGGGCCACGTTCACCACGCTCTCCGATCTTTCCTGTTGGGCCTACCCTTCCTTTTACACCTGAAACAAAGACATCAGCATTAGATGTTCAGTTCTGCTTATAAACGCCCTGAAATATCAACAGTGTATTGTGTTTGGGGTGACAGTGGCAACAGGAGGTGGGGGTCCCTCCGTCTGTCTCAGTCGTTGTGTCCTTGCCTGCTGGTGGTGGTCAGGGGATCTGGTGGCTCTGGTGCAAGGCAGCCTCACTTCTGTCGGTCTGTTCCAGGGCAGCTGAGGCTACAATGTAGCTKACCACCRTCAGTGTGTCAATGTGTGTATGAATGGATKAATGACTGCAGCACTTTGGAGTCCTTAATGAAGTTCAGGCCATTTACCATTTCTGTGTGGGTGTGTATGCGAGTGAGCTGCCAYGGCTAACTGACCTTAGCCAACAAATAAATAACTATAACTCAGCCAGTTTTACAAATATTGAGCTAAAATTTGTTGTGTTTGGTAGTTATTTGCTGAAAATATTGTGAGTGCTAACAGATGGCACAAGATCCCACAATATTGTGTGATAAGGATGATGTTAGAGCAGGGGTTCTCAAACGTTTTGGGTCTGGGGACCCCTTACAAGGGCAAAAAATGTCAGAGACCCCCTCATAAAACCCATGCTTTTTAAAAAGGTCATTTCAACCCCCAAATGCCATGGGAGTATACTTTTTATTTAGTTTGTCTTATTGGTTCATTGTTCTCCATGCATTTTAAAAAATAAAAACCAAATWAACAATTTAGTGAAAATTTTTGAGGACCCCCAAGATACCTCTTGTGGACCCCTGGGGGTCCTGGGACCCCAGTTTGAGAACCTCTGTGTTAGAGGCAGGAGAARACCCAAGAATGCAGACTACACAAGGACTCAAGCAAAGAAACCAGAGCTAACGTCCTATAACGGTTGACTGCAGTGAAGTGAAAACAGAAACTAATTGGATTGGGACAGGTGGACTAACAAGAGTTGAGGACAGGTGTGGGTGGGTGCGTCAGGTCGGAGGCTCAAAACTGAGGGAGAATACTAATGACGATGAAACATTGCTGAACAACTGAACACGTGGAAAGTACAAAACTAAACACATACATGTCAAGTTGTACRGATTGTCCGTAATTTACATGGATTTTCCATTATTTTGCAGGCATACAGATAGAGCAATTTCACAGATTTCTTTCAATTTTTAACGGATTTTTTTCAAAATCTCACTTTCAAATTAATTTAACATGTAGGACGTTTAAAAAAACAATAAATAACATTAAACAACCATCTTCTAACCTGTTCTGCCGCTAGAAATAAAAGACTAGAAAGCAGGGGTGGTTCTAGGGGTGGGGCCACAGGGGCATTGGCCCCATCTAAAATCTGATTGGCCCCCTGAAGTGACCCTGTCCTTTCACTCATTTGTCCTTGCCCAAGAACAATGATGTTGGCTGCAATTCCACTTCCAACCACTACTGGTGCCAGTGAGTCAAGTAGGAAAGTCCCGCCTGAAGCAAACTTTTTCACGTTGAACAATCCTGCAGAAATTTTTTTTTTTTTACTGACAACGATGACTGGATTTTCCCACATGTGTGTTTGAGAGTATTTTATTTATGTACAGTAAAAAAAAGCATGTAAAATTGATAAGGAGAATTTACTGTGCAAACATTTACAAGTGCTTGAACATGTGTGACTGATTAAATGTATAAAACTTGCAAAAACTGGGGATTTGTGTGCAAGGATGTTGAACAAGTACTTGGCCCCTCTATGAATACTGTGGCCCCTTGATGGCCCCTTACACTGAACAATCCCAGATCCGCCACTGCTAGAAATAAATTCTCCACTTATACAGGTTAATATCCAAAGGGGTTGACATGTATGTAAACACCACAAAGAACAAACAAGAGAAATAAGCCCAGAACTCTACCAAAAACATAGATCTGACAAAAACAGCTAACCCTAACCCTAACCCTAACCATCATTTCCCAACATGATGATCTCAGTTTAAACCCCTGGTATGAAAGGTGGTGGGCAATAAGCATTCCATCAAGGAATGTTACACATTTAATTTAAGKGATTTTGATGCTCCTTTGATCATTCTTTGGTATGAAAAATTCATTTAAATTAATCCTGTACTGCACACCAACACAATCATTACATGAACTGGACTCACTACATGCAACATTGACATTTGACCTACAATTTTGTTTCTAAACTACTCTGCAAAACCCCTTAATATAAGAAAGCTGTTGTGTGTTTGAGCCATGTCTGTGGGTCTGAAGGTTTGTGCAAAACTTCATATTTGGAAAACACAGGAGAGAGAGTGACTTTCTTGACAGATTATTTGTATCACAAACTTCTCTGGTGAGATATGTTTGGTGTTTTTGCTCACTGAAGGGATCAAGAGCTGACCTGCCAAATATTTTTTGAAACATTATAGCCCTCTTTTCTAAATGAAGGTTTTATTTTCAGAGCGGTCTAGCTATTTGGCAGCAAACTGTGATTAATGATGACTAATAATAATCTTGGGGAAAGAACAAAGCTTATTTGTGTTTGTAGAATCTAATCCAAAAAGGTTGAAGACTCTCCAAAAAAAAAAAAAAAAATCTTGGATTTTTCTTATGGCTTCAGTATGTGATGGAGATCCCTCTAACATCACACCAAATTTTAGCTAAAAATGTTTTTGAGGTTTCAAATGAGCTCTTGCGGACATTATAATTTTTTGTTTAGCATTCATAATTTGTCAACGCTTGTTCTTGGCTGCTACTATACCAGTTTTCAGCTCTGTAAGTCGTAAAAAAGCTGAATCAGAGCTTTTTCCTTAAATTAGCGTTAACGGTTAGCTTAAACTTCTGTATAGCATTCAGAATGGCTGTGTCTCAATTCATAGGTTGCAGCCGACATGGACTGCATTCGATGTTGGCTAGGGCCGTTGGCTGCATAAACGGCTGTAAAATGAAACGGTCTAATCTATGAAAGACGTACAGTATGCTTGTTTTACCATGCACTGCCTCAWTACCATGGTGGTACGTTTTATTTCACTTCAGTTGTTTTTTCAAGGCATAACTTCACAAAATTCAATTTTAATAGAAAAATGTTACAAGTAAATAAATAAAAAGCATTACTAATTTGGGTTTAGCTCCAGTTTCAGTACTTACTGCATTTTAACATCTCATTTCAACAAAACTTTATTCAGCTAAGTTGCTAAACTTACATTTTTTTGGTCCATGATTTATTTTCAAATTCCGCCTTAAAAAACAGACTCTGCCATAAAATTTAAATAAAACATCGCTGCCTTTTGTTTTTCTGTTTAATTTGCTGACGGCACAATGAATTCTGGGATACTGTTGGCTGCGTAGGATACTCGGATGCAGCCTACACTGTCAGGGTTTTGTTGGCCACATCAGTAGGCGCCTACGGWGAGGGGCAGTGGCGTAATGGCTGACGTCAGCTGCAACACATGAATTGAGACACAGCCAGGTAATGACACAACAGTGACAGATGCTCTAAGTCAATGGTGAAGGCTGACACCACAGCTAGCACCCATTAGATCAGGGGTGGGCATTGAGGGCCACAGTCCTGCATGTTTTACATCCAGACATGCCATAAAAAACTCTGCCATAAAGTTAAAAAACATCTGTCATCATTGTTTTTCTGTTTAATTTGCGCAATGAATTCTGGGATACCGTTGGCCGCGTAGGATACTCAGATGCAGCCGACGTTTGCGGGGGTTTGTCAATCGCATAAGTAGGCACCTACAAATTGGGACAGCCTACGGTGCGGGGCAGTGATGTAAGCGGCCGACAAATGCAGTCAACGTCGGCTGCAACCCATGAACTGAGACACAGCCAATGTCTTTAGTTAGCTCTCAGCTATCAACCCACCAAATTTGAGCTTTGTATGTTCTAGAACTGCTGTGCAATCTGGGTGCCATGTTGGGTTATATAAAGCCCCTTGTTGTTCTGTCACTCAAGAGGATACTCTCCCCTGTGAAGGAAACTCATTTAGACCGCTTGTATTCGTGGGTTTGGGTTGTGGGGGCAGCAGCCTAAGCAGTGACCCAGACCTCCATCTCTCCAGCCACTTGGGCCAGCTCCTCTGAAGGAATCCCAAGGTGTTCTCAGGCCAGCAGAGAAACATAGTCCCGCAGCGTGTCCTGGGTCTTCCTCTGGGCCTCCTCCCAGTGGGACATGCCCGGAACACCTCACCAGGGAGGCGTGCAGGAGGCATCCTAACCAGATGAACCACCTCAATTGGCTCCTCTCGACGTCGAGGAGCAGTGGCTCTACTCAGTGCCCCTCCTGGGTGACTGAGCTTCTCACCCTATCTCTAAGGGAGATCCCAGACACCCTGCAGAGGAAACTCATTTTGGCCGCTTGTATCCGCTATCACGTTCTTTCGGCCGTTACCCAAAGTAGATTAGGGTAGGAACATAGACCGACCAGTAAATCGAGAGCTTTGACTTCTGGCTCAGCTCTAGCTTCACCACGACAGACCTGTACAGTGCCCGCATCACTGCAGATGCAGCCCCAATCTGCCTGTCAATCTCCCGCTCCATTCTTCCCTCATTCGTGAACAAGACCCCAAGATACTAAAACTCCTCCACTTGGGGCAGAACCTCTTCCCCAACCCGGAGAAAGCACTCTACCCTTTTCTGGCTCAAGACCATGGTCTCAGATTTGGAGGCACTGATCCTCATCCTGGCCGCTTCACACTCGTCTGTAAACTGCTCCAGTGAGAGCTGGAGATCACGATCTGATGAAGCCAATAGGACCACATCATCCGCAAAAAGCAGAGATGCGATCCTAAGGTTACCAAAAAGGATCCCCTCAACACTTTGGCTGTGCCTAAAAACTCTGTCCATAAAAGTTATGAACAGAATCAGTGACAAAGGGCAACCTTGGCAGAGTCTAACTCKCACAGGAAATTAGTCCAACTTACTACCAGCAATGTGGACAAAACACCCCGGTTGTACAGGGATCCCRGAGTACCCCCCACAGGACTCCCCAAGGGACACGGTCGAACGCTTTCTCCAAGTCCACAAAACACATGCAGACTGGTTGGGTGAACTCCCCACACACCCTCCAGGACCCTGCTGAGGGTGTAGAGCTGGTCTGCTGTTCCACGACAAGGACGAAAACCACACTGCTCTTCCTGAATCCAAGATTTGACCATCCGACGGACCCTCCTCTCCAGAAGCCCTGAATAGACCTTACCTGGGAGGCTTAGAACTGTGATCCCCTATAGTTGGAACACACTCTACAGTTATCCCTTTTTAAATAGGGGGACCACACCAGTCTGCCAATTCAGGGGAACTGCCCACAATGTCCACGCAATATTGTAGAGTCACGTGAACCAACACAACACTGTGCTTTACTGATACTAAAATTCACTAAGTACAAAATGAGTTGATGAAAAAACACACTAGGTTTACCTAATTTTAAACACACATGACATATAATCAGTTTGACTCAAGTATGGTAAAATTTAGTAAATTTTGTCCATTTTTTTGTCAAAGTTTAAAAACGCATCTGCTTCTTGCAGCTTCACTACACCTGCCTCAATTCAATTCAATTCAATTCAATTCAAAAATACTTTATTGATACTAGAGCGAAATTAGGTCTTGTTGTAACTCATTTAACTAAAGAATTATTGTAGATGCTGATGGCTGTGGGCAGGAAAGATCTTCTGTAGCGGTCTGTATTACAGCGAAATTGAAGAAGCCTCCGACTGAAGACACTTTTCCTTTCTATGACAGTCTGATGAAGAGGATGGTCAGGGTTTTCCACAATGTTCTTGATTTTATGTAAAATCCTTCTTTGCACCATCATCTCCAGAGATTCCACAGTCATCCCCAAAACAGAACCAGCCTTCTTTATCAGGTTGTTGAGCCTTTTTAGGTCCCTGGCTCTGATGCTGCCACCCCAACAGATGACAGCAGAAGACACTCTCAACAACAGACTTATAGAAGATCTGCAGCATCTTGCTGCAGACATTGAAGGATCTCAGCTTCCTTAAGAAGTACAGTCTGCCCTGTCCTTTCTTGTAGACTGCTTCACTGTTGAGTCTCCAGTCCAGTCTGTTGAACACCGAGGTATTTATATTCCTCAACCACCTCCACTTCTTCTCCCATGATGGAAACAGGGTTTGATCTAASACTATTTCTCCTGAAATCTACAATCATCTCCTTTGTTTTGTT